GCACCCCTATGTTCATTGCAGCATTATTTACTATAGCCAAGACATGGAAGCAACCCAAGTGTCCATCAACAGATGATTGGATCAAGAAGATGTGGTATATATATATAATGGAATACTACTCAGCCATAAAAAAGACAAAATCGCCCCATTTGCAACAACATACATGGGCCTGAAGGGTATTATGTTAAGTGAAATAAGCCAGACAGAGAAAGACAAACACTGTATGACCTCTCTCACATGTGGAATATAAACTAACACACAGACAGAGAGAACAGTTTGGTGGTTACCAGGGGCAAGGGGGTTGGGGGGCGGGCACAAGGGGTGAAGGGGCACATTTATATGGTGACTGACAAATAATAATGTACAACTGGAATCTCACAATGTTATAAACTATTATGACAACAATAAAAAATAAATAGATAAATAAGAATTGAAGTCAATCAAAATTCAATATAAGTCAATGAAGTTTAGGGGAAAGAATCAATGAATTGGGAAACAAAAGAACAGAATTCTCTTCCCAGCTCTGCCAATCTCTGGTTTTCCAATTCTGAGTGTTTTGGGTTCCCTCTCTGAGCCTCAAGTTCCTCAGCAATTAAAAGAGTTGGTGGGGGTTGGCCCTGTGGCTTAGCGGTTAAGTGCGCGCGCTCCGCTGCTGGCTGCACGGGTTTGGATCCTGGGCGCGCACCGACGCGCCACTTCTCCGGCCATGCTGAGGCCGCGTCCCACGTACAGCGACTGGAAGGATGTGCAACTATGGCATACAACTATCTATTGGGGCTTTGGGGGAAAAAAATAAATTAATTAAATTAAAAAAAAAAAAGAGCTGGTGGACTTGATGGCATCATAGCTTTGTGCACGAGTGGCTTTAGCACATGGCGTCTGCCACCAGACTGCCCAGCTTCAAATCCTGCTGCATCCCTTCCTGGCTCTGTGCCTTTGGAAAAATTATTTGTCTGTGCCTCAGTTTGCCCATCTGCAAAATGGAGATAATGGCCTCAAAGATTGTTACAAGGATTAACTGTGGTAACTCACATTAATTCTTGAGAACTATAGCTGCCATATAGTCGGCACTACACAATCATTAGCGATTACTGTCGTCTGCTCTGGTTTCAAATTGCTCTGATTCTACAAATTTAAGTGTTGGCTGAAGTTTTTTAGACATTCATTTAGCAAAGAGTCACGGCACACTTACTCCATACCAAGAATACAATAACGAACAAGACAAGGGATGGTGTCTACTCTGGTGGAAATTATAGGATAGCAGCAAAGACAGATGTTAAGCCAGCAATTATGAGTATGATGTGTAGCCTGGAGACGAGCGAGGGAAGGAAAGCAAAATGAAACCTAGAAACAAAGAGGTATAGAAGAAGCACAGTCCTAGATCAGGCTTAAGATAGGGAAGCAGTTGGTCTCACTCAAAGACCTGAGGATTACGGATTCTCCCATAGTGCTCTGCACATATCCCTGCGGCGCCCAGCATGTATCACACAGCCATCATTTCTGTGGGTCTCTCGGCCCCACATGGATAATGCTGTACTCTGCTTTGTCTATCCATGGCCTCGCACGGGCCTGGCACACAACTGGTACTTGACAGATGGCTGCTAATTAATAATAATGAAAGTTCTGATGGTACTGACTAGATAGAGATGCTGATTCATTTTTTATGTTCCACCATACTCAGTTTAAGTTAAGTGGACTTTTTCTTAAAGAAGAGGAATTTGGAAGGTCATCTTTTCTTCGTAGTCTCTTTTCTCAGGCAGAATGTAGGTGTGCATGCGGATCCTCAGAGCTGGGCTGTTCACAGGCAGTAGAGGCAGCTGGTGTCTCCTCAGACTGAAACGCCTCCCGGTGGAGCGCCTCCTCTGGGTTAAGCTCGATTCAATCAGCTGCTCTTGTCACAGCAGTAACAGGATTGTTAGCCAGGCCTCTCTCAGAAAACAAGGTTTGAGGGAAAGAGCCACAGAAAAGGAATGGGATGGGACAAGGCCATCCTAAAGAGGAGCCTAGATGAGAGTCTGTCGGGGGAATCTGGCCTCTGAAAGACCCGAAAGTTCAAATGGAAACTGGGATGGGGAGGAAGGGAAGGAAAATCCCCTCTTTCACCCCTTGGTTGGGTCAGGCCAATAGTATTAAAAAAGTTAGAAAAACTAACATAACACATTACACAGATTCTTATCCCTGGAATAACTCTCAGACCATGGGAATTGTTCATACCTCATGAGTCCACTGGGCAAAACTTGTGGAACGTTCACCAGGTTGCAGTAGTCGGAGGATCTTGCTTTCAGCGTTTCTCGTTTTGATGTCAGATTCATTTCCCACATTCCTAAGGGTCCTATAGCGGCTGAGGATGATAGAATTATCATGCTCATTCCATCCTTCCCACTCTTTCCAGAAAGAGAAAACTGTTAGATTTTGGGTTTTGATAAAAGTAGTAAAACCACGTCTCTAAAAAATTCTGCACAATGGGAGATACAGGCTTCTCTCCTCTCCCTTTTTCTACTCTTCACAAGAGAAAACCAGAGTCCAGAGAGGTTAAGTCACTGCTCCAAGGACCCACAGCCAGGAAATGCCAAGCTGAGAGGAAAGCCTGGATCTGCAGATCCCCAGCCTGACTCCTGCCCACACCACCTCACCATGATGGTTAATTTTATGTGTTAACTTGACTGGCCACAGGGGGCCCAGATTAAATATTATTCTGGATGTGTCTGTGAGGGTATTTCCAGATGAGATTAGCATTTGAATCAGTGGACTCGGTAAAGCAGACTGCCCTCCCCAATGTGACTGGGCATCATCCAATCTGTTGAGGGCCTGAATAGAACAAAAGGCAAAATTTGCCCCTTCCTGTCTGATTGCTTCAGCTAGGACATTGATCTTCTCTTGTCCTCAACTCTCTTGGTTCTCAGGCCTTCAGATCCTTTCTGGAATCCATATCACCAGCTCCCCTGGTTCTCAGGCCTTTTGATTTTGACTAAATTACACCATTACCTTTCCCGGGTCTGCAGCTTGCAGACGGCAGATTGTGGAACTTCTCAGCCACAATATTGCATGAGCCACTTCCTCATAATATATATATCTCTATGAATCCTGAAGAACCCTGACTAATACACTCACTGTCTCCGTTCTGGAGACCTATGATATGTACTCAAGTTTTACTTACCTCTCCCAACTCCAAAAGAAGGGATGATCCAGCAGGCCACTCAGATGGTCCTTCACATTTTCCCCAGGGTAGAACAGGTGATAAATGAGGTCCTGAGTCACCGCGTCTGAAGAAAGTCGAATCACCTCTTCATAACTTTGAGTTGTCAGCGTCTCAAAACAGATGGCTCCCTTCCTTACAACATACAGGACCAGCAGTCCAAGGGCCTGCACAAAAGCCACAAATCAAGCCAAATGTGCTTACTCACTCTATTTGGGTAAACTTGCAGGGTGTGGTGCAGGCTGTGAGCAAATGGGAAATGGGAGGAATCTCGAGGAATCCACAGGGGGAGAGAAGACACAGGTTTGTGCATTGTGAACTTTTCAAGGCAGTATGTGGTCCCCACAACCTAGGTTTATAAGGAGCAAAAGATAATCCTGGGCCAGAGTTGTCAGGGAAGACTGCTTAGAGGAAGAGGGATTTGAGATAGACCTTAAAGTATGGATAGAATTTAGATAAACAGAGGAAAGGGAAAATGTTTTAAAAAACAAGAGGAATGCCACGAATCTGGCTGGGCACTGGGAATTTGGGTCCAGGGCTACAACAGGCAGCAGATACAGGAGCCAGTCCAGGTCCAGCGGGACACAGTTATGGCCCCAGGAGTTAGGCCACAGCAGGGAGGAAGGGCCAAGAAGGAGGCTGGCATAGGATCTCCTGTACCTTGTAAGACAACAGTCAGGGAAGGAGCTGAAATCTGGAGCCATGGAACCACAAAGGCCGGACAGGGATGCAGAGCTCTTGCTCATCGGGTTGAAAGTTCAGCACCATGGGCAACTCTCCAGGAGAGGTCTGTCCTACCAGGGTCAGAATCAATCTGGGAGCCTTGGTTGGCAGAGGCCAGGCTCTGTCTCTTCTCAGAAGAAACAGTTATTTCAGGGACTTAATCTTTTTGGCCAAGCTTAGTGTCTTTTGAGCTGGTGATCCACGCCCTCCTTTCCAGGTGTTTCCGAGGGCCTTAATGTCTGGCCCTCTTCAGAGTTTGAATGGAGTGGGAAAAGAAATCTCATTTACTTTGTCCTTAAGCAGAAAATACCTCCTGCAGGAATTTTGGAGAAAACCCCTGGAGGTAATTCTAGAAGAGGTACAGCATGCTCAATTTATTTACTATTTAGCTAGTGGAGGAAGAGAGAGATCCAAAGAGATACAGAAAGGAGCCACAGTGACAATCAACTCTACACCAACCCAGAGAAATGCTGCTGTCTGCAAGGGAGCGAAGGCCGTGAGCAAGACTAGGGGAAGGCCTGAGAGTTCTTTCCTTCCTAGTTAAAATAGGAACATCCTCTCATTGGCCGTAGGAAATAAGGTAATGAACGAATAAGGAAGCAGGAAAATGGAAAAGTAAACTGACCGTAGAAATTACCTTTAGATCTCTCTTGATTTCCTGTGGCTCGCCAGACCACTTGATGCTTTTATCAAAATCTGCCAGGCAAACAGCATTCCTGGAATCTAAGGGATAGTTTGTAGAGGTGCATTAAAAATCCTCATTCTCCACGTTGTGAGTAATTAATTTAAATAAATATGTAGCACAATGTGCAATCCCTCATCTCTGAAAAAGGCAGTAAAGCTTGTATCTGCATTGCTGTTTACTCCTCAAAACACTGTCATATGCACTGTGTCCTTTGACCTATTAGGCATCTGCCAAGAGCAGGACTTACATTTTATTTTTTCCAGGTCAGGGGGTGGGGACAGATGAGAATAAATTTAACCAGCTCCCCATTCATGTAATTCCTAGGGGCAAAGAGCAAAGATTTATAAAGGAGATGCTGGCAGGAATTAAGATTATAGCCTATGGCTAAAGAACAACTAACCAACAAGTCTCCAAATCAAAGACCACCTTAGCATAGCGCTCCACCAAATCGAACCCGCTAGCCACAGCCCACCATGATACTGTAATCAGTTATCATGGATCAACCATGTGCTTAATGAGTGACTGCCTCCTTGCCCTCTTCAGAACCTTTCTCCCTTGAAGGGAGCCAGTGAGTCCTCAGAAAGAGAGATGCAGGGATGAGAGAGGTCAGGAACAAGATGAAAGGGGGGCAAGTCAGTGATTTCTCCTCTAAGAGGTGGCTCCTGCTTCTGGCTTCATGGAGTCTGAGAAGGAAGGCTAGGTATCCCCAGATAGGATGATGGCCGGTGCAATTGTGTGCTTCTCGAACCCCTTTTATTCTGAACTTAGACATCAACATTGTGTGGAAACCCAGAATCTAATAAATATGAACCCATCAAATTTTTCAACAAGTGTTTGGTGAAGGGAAAAACAATGGTGAAGGAGAACACAGGGTTTAGCATCTCTGGGCAAGGAGACTGATACTAAATTAACAGTTACACAGATAAACATAAAATTAATTGCAATTTTGAAAATGCTAGCCAAAGTGCAGGATGTTCTGAAAGTGTATTAGAAGAAGAGCTACATGGCTGTGGGGTGGGGGGAGAAGTCTTCCCTCAGGAAGAGACGCTTAGACAGAAAAGGTCAGTAGAATTTGGGTAGGTGAGTGAAGTGAGGAAGAGAGGGGAGACAGAATTCCAGATAGGAATTCCCAAGGCAGAAAGGAACCTGGAGAACTCTACTCTGACAGAAGGCGGCCCAGGGGCCTGGAGAGGAGGGATGAAGTCAGAAAGTGGTCTGCAGTGAGGATGAAGGGGTGGAGGGGTACAGATCATTAACCATGGATTATTTTCAGTTATTTGAACCAATAAATTCCTTTCACTTGTTTAAGCCACTTTGAGTTGAGTTTTCTGCTACATAAATCTGAAAGTATCTAACGGAACACTTTGCATCTCTTCTAATACTTGATTTTTTATTTTTAGATTCAATAGACATTGTTAAAGTGCTTTAAAAAGTTTTAAATGCTTACGCTTAGTTTCTGTTCTTTTACAACCACAGACATTAACAGACTGTTGATGGGCAGAGCTGGGATGAAATCTGCCCTCTCTGCCTTGCTGCCAACGACTCGAGAACCTCAGTCCCCTTTTCTTTCCCTCTGCTCTTCACCCTTACTCCCACCACAGCGATATCATCTAGGATTGTTTTTTGTAATTTTTGTTTTTTAAAAAACAACACGTTCGGGTTACTTTAAAAAATTATTTCTTCGTTCATTTCGGCTTCTAAAAGTCTCCGTTTTCTCCCAGACTCTTTCTCTCCTTCCTTACACACATCCTCCAGTAGTTCTTTCACAGACGGTCTGTGAGTGGAAAGTTTTCCTGAATCCTTGAACACTTAAAAAAAAAATGTATTTATTTTGAATCACATGCGAACAACAATAATTTGGCTGTTGTCTTGGTGCCAGCTGCTATAACAAATTACCATAGACTGGGTGATTCAGACCACAGAAATTTATTTCTTCCAGTTCTGGCGGTTAGAAGCCCAAGATCAGGATGTTAGCAGGGTCAGGTTCTAGGTGAGGGCTCTCTTCCTGGTTTACAGACAGCCATCTTCTTGCTGTGTCCTCACATGGCAGAGACAGCTAGCTAGCTCCACGACCACTTCTCATAAGGGCGCAAATCCCGCCGAGGCAATTTGAGAAAGAACAAAGCTGGAGGCATCACACTTCCTGATTTCAAACTATATTACAAAGCCATAGTAACCAAAACAGTATAATACTCGCATAAAGCCAGATATACAGACCAATGGTACAGAATCGAAAGCCCAGAAATAAACCCACACATATACAGTCAACTAATGTTTGACAAAAGAGCCAAGAATACTCAACCGGGAAAAGATAGTCTCTTCAAAAAATGGTGTTGGGAAAACTGGACAGTCACACGCAAAAGAATGAAACTGAACCCCCATCTTACACCACTCACAAAAATTAATTCAAAACGGATTAAAAACTTAAAAGTAAAACCTGAAACTGCAAAACTTCTAGAAGAAAACACAGAGAAAAAGCTCCCTGACATCGGTCTTGGCAATGATATTAGGATACGACACCAAAAGTGCAAGCAACAAAAGCAAAAATAAATAAGTGGGACCACATCAAACTAAAAAGCTTCTGCACAGCAAAAGAAATGACAAACAAAGTGAAAAGGCAACTATGGAAACAAGTGGAAACATAGCGGAATAGCCAGTGTGGAAAACAGAATGGAGGTTCCTCAAAAAATTAAAAACAGAACTACCATATGATCCAGCAATCCCACTTCTAGGTATACATCCAAAGGAAATGAAATCACCATCTTGAAGAGATATCTGCACCCTCAGGTTCACTGCAGCATTATTTACAATAGCCAAGACATAGACAAAACCTAAATGTCTTTTGACGGATTAACGGATAAAGAAAATGTGATATACACACACAATGGAATATTGTTCAGCCTTTAAAAAAAGAAATCCTGCTGTTTATGACAACATGGATGAACCTTGAAAGCATTACGCTAAGTTTCATAAGTCAGGCAGAGAAAGACAAATACTATATGATCTCAGTTATATGTGGACTCTAAAAGAACTAAACTCATAAAAACAGAGAGTAGATTGGTGGGTGCCAGTGGCAGGGGGTAGAGGAAATGGCTGAAGGTGGTCGAAGGGTGCAAACTGCCTGTTACAAGATGAATAAGTTCTGGGGATGTGATGTCCAGCATGGTGACTATAGTTAACAATACTGTATTATATACTTGAAAGTTGCTAAGAGAGTAGATCTTAAAAGTTCTCACCACACACACACACAAAATGGTAACTATGTGAGGTGATGGATGTGTTAACTAACCATATTGTGGTAATCGTTTCGCAATACATATGTATAGAAAATCATCATGTTGTACACCTTAACCTTACACAATATTATATGTCAGTTTTATCTCAATAAAGTTGTAAAAAAATAAAAACTTTAGGGGCCAGCCCCCCGTGGCGTAGTGGTTAAGTGCGCGCGCTCCGCTGCTGGCGGCCCGGGTTCGGATCCTGGGCGTGCACTGAAGCACTGCTGTCAGGCCATGCTGTGGTGGCGTCCCACATAAAGGGGAGGAAGATCAGCACAGATGTTAGCTCAGGGCCAGTCTTCCTCAGCAAAAAGAGGAGGATCAGCATGGATGTTAGCTCAGGGCTGACCTTCCTCACAAAAAATAAAAAAAATAATAAAAACTTTATTTCCAGTTTTGGGAAAAAAAAGCACTAACCCCATTCATCAGGGCTCCACCCTAGTGACCTAATCACTTCCCAAAGGCTCCACCTTCAAATGCCATCACATTGGGATTAGGGTGTCAACATATGAACTTTGGTGGAACACAAATATGTGGTCCACTGTAGCTGTTAAATAGGTTCTTTCTCTTCAGCTCTTTCTTTTTGCATCCAGGTTGCTGATGAGAGAAGTCTTATCCCAATCTGATTCTGGTTTCTACATAGGTAATTTGTCTTCTCTTGGCAGATTTTGAGTTTTTCTCTTTTTTGTTGATATTTTGAAACTCCTTTACCATGTGACTCAGTGGGGTTTTTTTCCTTATTTATCCTCAGCTTTTGGTGACTCTTTTTTTTTTTTTTTTTTTGGTGAGGAAGATCAGCCCTGAGCTAACATCCACGCCAATCCTTCTCTTTTTGCTGAGGAAGACTGGCCCTGGGCCAACATCTGTGCCCATCTTCCTCCACTTTATATGGGATGCTGCCACAGCATGGCCTGACAAGCGGTGCATCGGTGCGCGCCCGGGATCGAACCTGGGCTGCCAGCAGCGGAGTGCGCACACTTAACCACTACACCACGGGGTCGGCCCCTGGTGACTCTTTTCAATAAGAGAACTATATCTATCTTTAGTTCTGGGACATTCTCAGCTATTTTTTTCAAATGTGGCTTCAACCTCATTCTCTTCTTTCCCTCTGGAAGGCCTATTAGAACTTCTGGATCTAATTCATGACTCTAAAGTTTTTTTTAATACTTTCCATCCCTTTACGCTTTTCCGTTAATTTCTAGGAGAATTTCTCAGGCAAATCTTCTAGCTCACTAATTTAATCTTCAATCCAGGCTGGAGTTTTTTTAATTTAAACAATTATTTTTTTAATTTTCAAATTCTCTTTTTGGTTCTTTTCACAATGCTCATCCTTGCTTCTTGGATGAAATAACCTATCTTTGTTCTCTAGTTTTACTAATTATACTTACTTTAAAGTTGTGTTGTGGTTACTCAGTATGGCAGACTGAATAAATACCCATGTCCTAATCCCTGGAATATGTAACTGCTTCTTTATACACCAAAAAATAAAATAAAATAAAAAAGACTTTGCAGATGTGATTAAGTTAAGAATCTTGAGATGGGAGAAATTATCCTGGGTTATCCAGGTGAGTCCTAAAGGTAACCACGTGTATCCTTATACAAGAAGGGCAAAAGGAGATTTGACAACAGAAGAGAAAGCACTATGACTATGGAGGCAGAGATTGGAGTGATGCAGCCACAAGCCAAGGAATGCAGGCAGCCGCCAGAAGCTGGAAAGGCAAGGAACAGAGTCTCCTCTACAGTCTCCAGAGGGAATTTGGCCCTGCTGACACCTGATTTTGGGCTACTGGAACTGATTTCATACTTCTGGCCTCCAGAACTGCGGGAGAATAAATTTCTGCTGTTTTAAGCCACCAAGTCTGTGATCATTTGTTTCAACAGCCATAGGAAACTAACAAACTTGGTTAGCTATATTTCTTTGGGTGTAAATTCTTCTGTTCCGTGCATCTCTTTCACAGTATCGGCACTCCTTTAAATATCTTAAGTGATTTCTCACTGTAAGTCTTACTTTGCAGTTGAGAATCCCTGATGCCCTGTGAGCTGCTTCTGGTAATGCCACCCAACATAGGGGAGGGATGAAGGCAGTTGTCAGAGCTTTTGCTTTGCATTTTATTCAGTGAACTCAGGGGTAAACAGGACATGCCACTTAGTAGGGTGTTTTGGCAGAAATCTTGTGGGTTTAACTGCCCTTTGTGTCTCTTGAGATCGCTAAACACCCAGTGTTTCAGCAGTACCCTTATCTGCACACAGACAGGCCTGTCAAGAGATGCCTGGGCCCTGGGGAAGAGGGCATGCACCGGGTTTGATCTTCCTAGTTTCTGTTGATGCAGCAATCTGCTTCTCAGCTGGTCCTTCGTCCTCTCCTGCTCTGGCTTCCATTACTCTCGAGTGGCACTTTTTTGCACTGCTCCCACTATCATGAGTATCATTTAGCTGTGGCTTCCTGCATCTGTCCTGGGCTCCTGTGTCCTTCTCCAATCCAATCCTATCCATGTTTAGTCTCTTTATGATTCTTCAAAGATTTTGTCCTGTAAAAATTCTTTTTTTATTTTGATCTCAGCTATGAACTCATGTGAAAATCTTTTCCTATCATCTTAGGGATTTAACATGGGGAATAGTCTGCAGTAATCAATTCTTTATTGTCCAAGCTTAAGAACGGAAGAGGTGATGCTAGAAATTCCAGGGAATAGGTAGCCACAAATTATTTTTCTTTAGAACATGACATACGACTCTTTCTCATCAACATCAGCAGTTAGAACTGGGAAGGACTTCACCCTTGGCTGACTCTCGCAGAATCTGCCTCACAGAGCCGCATATATTTCTGGCCCTTGTCATTCCCCCAGCAAAGTTGTTTAAAACCAGGAAGGAGTGACACTAGCACCTGTCCTTGAACTAAAAGCCAGACCCCAGTCGTGTTCTTATGTGCACCTACTCCTCTTGTCCAGGACCTTAAATACCATCCTCCGCCTCAATGCCTGACCCTCGTTTTGCCCTGCTCCCTTACACCGAGCTTAAATCTCAATGCATACCTGCAGGTTACATATCTGCTTCTGCTTAGCCCTCTAGACAAGCACCTGGCCTTTGTTGAGCACCTACAATCTACAGGCAACTTGTCTATTTAACACACTGCACTTAGACCTCATAACAACCTTGTGAAGGAGGTATTAGTCTCAAAGGAGGAAACCAAGGCTCACAGAATTAAGTGACTTGTTCGAAGTTACAAAGCTACAAAGTGGCAGGACTAGGCTGCAAGCCGCCCTAAACAGGGCTAACGTCCAGGCTTTCCCCACTGCACCACATTGCCTCCCAGGACTTTACACAAAGCTCTGCTTTTTTCCTTACTTTTGTTTGTTTTGTTTTAGGCTTGGACCAGTGGATGTTGACTTGTTCTGCCTGCCTGGAGTCTGTTTCACCGTGTCACATCTTGTCCTGCCATCCCCAATTTTGATCTCAGTTTTGCCATTAAGTTTCACAGGAACTGCCACCTTGTCTGAAGGAACACACCTTCAGGATTCTCTGACTTGCAGGCTGCTCTAGGAATTCAAATTTCTGGAGCTGGCTCCATCTAAGACATACTTTCATATTTGTATTTGCCAAGGGCAATATAGAGCTAGCCTGGCATTCCCTTGGCATCTGTGACTTGCATGTGGAGTAAGGGTCATAACTGGTAGCAGAAGAGACTGCACTGTAACTAGGAATTCGTTGCATTAATCCTCAAACTGAATAACCCACGTTTACTCTAGGCCTCTCCTATCTGCAGTGAAAACCCTTTCCTTTTGTAAATAAAGACCTTATAATTTCTAAGAGAAGATTGGGGACTCACCTATTAAGATGTTTTGTGGCTGCAGATCCTGGTGAGTGTATCCACACCACAGGTGGAGTTCTTCGACAGCCTTAAATACAGACAAGAGGATGTTTCGAGCAAACTCATCTTCCTCATTTTCCACAGCCTCCTCTCCACGCGTGGCCAAGAGCTCCTCCAGTGTCTGCTCACAGAGGGCGAGGCACACATACAGACAGCCGCTGTGGCTCTCACGCCCATAGAATGTCACCAAGTTACTGTTCGCTCGACTGCTCTGCAGACAGGACACTTCCTTTTGTCCACGTGTGCTGCCTTCACAGAATCGCTTCACAGCTGCTTCCTGCTCTTCATAGAACCCCAGATAGATGCCCCCTTCAGAAGTGTCAGCAATTTTATATTCCTCATCAATAAAGATTTTGAGTTTGCCAATCATAGGGCGGTACATACTATGGAGATGTTCCAGGGCTGTCCCCCAACGTGAGCTCTGAGCCTTCCAGTCTACATCAGGAGGGTGAAAATCTTCTCTGGCTCCACGACGGAGAAGAAAACTTGCAAGGTCATTGTCGTAATTGCGCTTCGCTATCCTAACAAGATCCCCACAATCCGTGCTGGCTCCTTTGTCGCACAGCAACTGCGCAATTTCCTTCTGTCTGAGTTGGACAGCAAACAGCAGTGCTGTTTTGCCCTCGCTATCTGTGTCATTAATCTCTATACATTCTTGTTCCAGAAGCATCTGCACCAAACCCAAGTGCTTCTTTTCCACTGCCAGGATCAGAGGCGTCTTCCCTCCTTCTCCTCTCACATTGACATCAGCCCCGTGGTCCAGCAGAAGGCGAGTAACGACCTCCACATTCCTATTCTCGGAGTTCCGAAGAGCACGGAACAAAGCATTTCTGCCCATATTGTCACGGGCATTGACATCTGCCCCCATCTCATCAAGGAGGATCTTCAAGACGTCTACGTGTCCTTCTTCAGCAGCATCCATGAGAGCTGTGGCCCCTCCTTTCCTAAGCCTCTCTTGATCTTTCTTTGTCTTTCGACTCAAATTCACCTCTGCCCCATTCTCATACAAGAATCTTAAGGCGTTGACCATACCGTACACAGCAGCCTCCATGAAAGCTGTGTAGCCGTGAAAATCACACTCATTGACATCTGCTCCTTTAGACAGGAAAAGTTTGAGCAGCTCCACACTTCCCACAATCCCAGCAACGATGAAGGGAGTGGCCCCATTCCTCTTCCTCAGGCAAGGGTCAGCACCATGGTGGAGCAGAAGCTCCACGATGTCCTCCCTGCAGTTTTGTACTGCATTATGCAAAGGCGACCAGCCTCCTTGCTCTTCCTGGAAATTGACATCAGCTCCTCTTTCCAGCAATTGGCGGGCCAGCTCAATGTCTCCTTCTGTCACAGCTTTAATCAACAAAACATTGTCTTCCACCGAAACCCTCCTGTTGCTGGAGCGTGTGGGTCTCTCCTGGGGGTTGTTATGGCTCTTGGTCTCCATGATGGTAAATACCACTGGCTAGAACTTTTTGCCCTTTCTTTGAGAAAATGAAAATTTATCTCCTTGGTACTTGATCAGAGAGATGAGCTCTTAGAAACCCCTGTCAGAGTAAATAAGGATTATCTGGCTACAGACCAGCAGTATGAGGAAGGACAATACTCTTGGAGTCTTCTGACATTCCACCTAGAGATGAGAGAGGTATTTTGTAATTTTATAATAGTGAGAAAACATGTGAATAAGAGAAACTAATTTTACTAATAACCTTTTCAAAATACATCTACTTTCTTATTATAGAACTTTTTATTATAGAATATTATATATATAAATTAAAAATAGGAAAATTATTACTCTATAGTCCCACTGTCCAGAAACAGACATTGTTAATATTTTACTATATTTCTATAGATTTTTAAAAAATAATTGGGATTATTCTGGGTAAGTAACTTTGTTTCCTTCTTCCTTTCATTTAATGCCATACTATAAATAATTTCCTATGTTATTACAAAGTCTTTTAACATTTTTAATGGCTGCGTAATATGCCATCATATAGTTGTTTCATTTCCCTATTACTGAGCAGTTCTTAAATAAGATTTTTTAAATTAGAACTTTTTAACAATTCTAAATAACATTGCAGCAAATTTAGCTTATTTTAGCTTATTTTCTTATGATGGATCTTAAGACAGATTTCAAAGAATTGAATGACTGGTCAAAGGATATGATTTTTTTAGGATTCTCAAAACTATAATATTAAATTGCTTTCAATGTCTTTTAAACACATTCTGACTAGAAGTAAATGGCCTCTTTAAAAACAAAAACAAAAAACAAAACCCAGAACCTTCATTTAACACGAAAAAATGTAGTTTTGTCGATTTGCATTTCTTGTACCACTCAGGGTGTTTGCTGGCTCTGTGCACGTCTTCTCTGTGCACTGTGTGCTCCTGTTCAAAGTAGGATAAAGTAGTAAAAGAACTGAGACTCCGACCTCAGCAAGATCTAAGTTTGAGCCCCTGATTGTGTAACTTTAGACTGTTACTTCCTAATTGTGTAACCTTAGATTAGAGTCTCAATTTTCTGTTTCCTCAAATGGAGGCAACAATAAATACTGTCATGCGTACAAAATGCATTCAAGAGGGGGAGTGGCAAATATTAGGCATTCAATAAATGGTAGAGCTAATTATGTCCCTTCATGAAAAAAACTTTTAGCAAATCCTATTCTCCCCACCCATGTGCATATACATAGTACAGAAATAGGGAACCTGGGGTTGTCAATTTAGTCCAACTGCCCTCAATCAGATCTGAGCAATTTAGATCCAATTCAAGCACCAGACAGCACCAAACGGTTACCTTAATATTTATATAACTGCATCTGCTACGATGCAACATACATATGATGAAATTCACAAAGCAACCATTTTTCAGCAATCTCGCCACTCTCTCCGTCTCAAAGCCCCCACCCTCAGAGGTCTAATCAATTGTGCTACAAAAGCACAGTCACCCAGCAATGAAATCTTTGAGCCAAATGCTTGTGTAAACCGTTCCTGTTTCAGTGGGTGTGAGATGGGCTGGTGTAAGTAAAGGAGCGGAGTAGGGAAGAAAGTCAAAGGAACCCTGAGTAAAATATCAGAGCAGAGAATAAAGACAAGCCAGCAAAAGCACTGCAATGGATGAGTCCTGATTTCAGTTTCCTTTTCTCCCTGTGACCAGAGCGCCTGATATACCGAGACGACTTGAAGGAATAATGTGTGGATTGTGGCAGAACCTTGGAGTTCTCAGGCGGGCTCAGGGGCCAAAGGCTCCCTGGGCCTGGCCAGCAGGCTCTGCGCTCTCTTCCGCTTCCCGATCTCACAACCCCTTTCAGCTGCGGTCCCCAAAGCCCAAGGAATCCCCTGAAAGAACCAGCTCTCTTCCTCCTGTCCATCTTACCTTTCAAACTCAGACGCCTCCGCAGGCATTCATTTGGCAACATTTAATCTTTAAATACTGTTCCCGGCAGAGAACCATTTCCTCCTGGGGACGTCACAGAGCCAGCGGGGCGGAGCCAAGAGAGGAGCGAGAGAGGAGCCAGCGGAGGGTAAAGCGGCGCACGCTCGTCTCTGCAGGCGCAGCTAGAGCTGCAGCACTTCTAACCCCTCTCGAGGGAGGTGGCGGCTCCGCTCTGAGTGCTGATGGCTAATTTGATGTCCAAGATCATGCTGCTCATCTTTCAGCCTTTCAGACCGCAGCATCCAGCTCCATGCTTACCACGTTATTCCAAATCCCCTATCTTCTTGAGGGAAATAGAATGGTAACATTTATCCAGCACCGACTGGATGCCTGGCACTATACTCATTGCTTCACAAGTGACATGGTCCCAGTTACCCCCTAAATAATCCCGCTGATGATGAAACTGAGGCTCAGAGAAGCTAAGTAAGCCCAAAGCCCAAGCTTCGTCGCTCCTCTGGGCACACTCAACTCACTGCCCTGAGGCAGCGTGGCGTCCCCAAAAGGGTGCTGGGCTGGCAGTCTGGAGACCTGGTCCTGCAGCGAGAGCTGTGGCTGTTCAGCTGAGTGACCTCAGGCGGGTAGTGTAGTGATACTGGGCCTCACTTCTCTCATGTAATAGGATTTTTAAGGTTCCTTTCTGCTCCAGAAGTTCTGCCCTTGACCATTTTCCTAGCACTGAGATGCACACTGGGTACGGAATGCTCCGGTGGAAAGTATTTCTGTCCTCAAAGAACATCCAGTCTTACTGAGGAGGCAAACTCCTGAGAGGGTCATGAACAGCGAGCAGAACATGGTCACGTGTTGTTCCCCAGTGTCACGCCATGCAGACCCTTGGGCCTCTATGGCCCTTACACCCCAGTGACTCCCAAGCCTCTCTCTCTAGCCCCAGCCTCTCTGCTGAACTTCAGACCCACTAATCTTGAACATGTCCCAAACAGAGACCCTCATCTCTCCCTAAATCTGCTTCTCTTCCTCTTTCTCCGTCTCCGTCAACGGCACCACCACCTGGAGGCCACTCCTCATCCTCATCCCAATACCAAGTCTCCTGCTTTCACCTGCAAAGGAATGACTAACCTCAGCCCTTGTCGTTGCTTATTGCAAGAAACTGATGACTTGCTTCCTCACCTCTAATCTAGTGTCCTACCTGCTGCATTGACTCACCATAGTTTTCAGGACAAAGTTCAAAGTTCTGAACCCATTGTTCCTTCACTTAATATTTACTGAGCACTGCCTATACTGCCAGTGACTATTCTAAATGCTCGTGATACAGTGATTTACCACACAAGTTCCTCATGGAGTTTGCATCTTAGCAGGCAGAAACAGATCATAAACAATTGAGAACTGTGCTGTATAGCACGATTTCAGATTATGATATGGCCCCTGACTGTCCCTATTCCTCAGGCACATCATCATTACTACCATCCAGTTCCCCGTTACATGATACTGCTGCCCCCCTCCGTGTCTCTGCACACACTGCTTTTGCTACCTGAACTAATAATAATAGTAATAAGAATGATGATAGCAAATATTTATGTAGCTCTTTAGTATGTTCCAGGAACTGTTCTGAGCCCTTTGCGTGTATATATTAAATCATATAGTCTAATCCTTGTGAGATGGGTACTATTTTTGACCCCATTGTACAGATGAGGAAACTGAGGCACAAAGTGATTAACTTGCCTTTTGTTTCAAGGATTTGGGCTACGTCACTGAAAAACACAGAGAAAGATGCCTGCCCTCATTCTTGTTGGAGAAACGAGTAAATTGTACATGTCATATTTTATGGTGAAAATCCTACAGAGAATAATAAACTAGAATAAGGAGGGTTGAAATCATCAGGATGGGGATTATAAACGAAGAGACACATTTCTAAATAATGGAGACTCAGACTCCGTTATCTAGCACCTAACTGCATTACATCCCTTACCCTTGGGATCATTCCTCAGTTATTTAAATTTCTAATCTTTCTTGTCTTCACAAAGCAATTTGAATAGCTGGACCAATTTAAAAGACTTAGTGACAGTGAATTACCCTGAGATCAGCACTCAATATGCCCTGAACACCTTTTTCTCTCTACCTAAGATCTTCAATGTTTTTTCATTTTTTTCCAGTTTTATTGAGAAATAGTTGGCATACATCACTGTATAAGTTTAAGACATACGACATGATAGTATGATTTACATATATTGTGAAATAATTGCCACAGGAGGTTTAGTTAACATCCATCATCTCATACAGATACAAGAAAAAGAAAAAAATATATTTCTCCTTGTGTTGAGAACTCTCAGAATCTACTCTCTTAACAACTTTCCTGTACATCTTACAGCAGTGTTAGTTATAGTCATCATGTTGTACATTACATCCCTACTACTTATTTATCTTATAACTGGAGGTTTGTACCTTTTGGCAACCTTCCTCCAATTCCCCCTCCCCACCCCCCACCATGCCTCTGGTAACCACAAATCTGATCTCTTTTTCTATGAGTTTTGTGGTGTTTTTTTGTTTTTTATTGGATTCCACATATAAGTGAGATCATACAGTATTTCTTTCTCTGTCTGACTTATTTCACTTAGCATAATGCCTTCAAGGTCCACTCATGTTGTCCCAAATGGTAGTATTTCCTCATTTTTTATGGCTCAATCATATTCCACTATTAATAAATATATATATATTGTGACTTTTAAAAAATTATTTTATTCAGGTCTCATTGGCTTATAACATGTAAATTTCAGGTATATATTATTATATTTCAGTTTCTGTATATACTGCATCATGGTCACCATCAAGAGTCTAGTTTTTATCTGTCACCATATACATGTGCCCTTTTACGTCTTTCACCCTCCCCTACTCCTCTTTCCTCTCTGGTAACCACCAATCTATTCTCCTTATCTATGTGTTTATCTTCCTCATATGAGTGAAATCATACAGTGTTTGTCTTTCTCTGTCTGGCTTATTTCACTTAACATAATACCCTCAAGGTCCATCTATGTTGTCACAAATGGCACGATTTTGTCTTTTTTTTATGGCTGAGTAGTATTCCATTGTTTATAGATACCATATCTTCTTTATCCATTTATCTGTTGATGGGCACTTGGGTTGCTTCCAAGTCTTGGCTAT